GGCCGTGACGCCTGATCCACGAGACGGCAGTTTATCATCGCCCCACCATACAGGATGTGGTTCATAAAGCGGTCTCCAAAGGTATCCAATCCCTTCGGCAAGATATCCTGCAACAGGCCCAGAGGATCTCTGAAGCAGAAGTCCGCATTACATCCCTAGAGGAGGGGGTCGACTCATCACTATCACAACTGGATTCGGCACAGCAGCAGGTCAAAACCCTGCAAGAACGGATAGACGATCTGGAGAATCGATCCCGTCGAAACAATGTGAGGATCGTTGGCCTACCGGAATCCTACCGCCCATCGCTACTGCAGTCCATCTGCGCTCATAATATACCGGATCTACTTGGACTAAGCCCAAACTGCAAGGTAGAAAGAGCACACCGCGTGGGACCCGCTAACCCTGAACGGAAGACTCCAAGACAAGTCATCGCTCGATATCTGGATTACAATGACCGCATGGAGATACTCCAGGCCTTTCGCGCCAAGAAGGAGCTTTTCTTGGATGGGCATCGACTCCTCTTATTTGCGGACTACTCGGCGGATGTCACCAAAAAACGCAAGGCATTCGGTAAGGCTTGCTCGCTCCTGTTTCAGAGGAAAGTTAGGTTTACCTTGGCCTACCCAGCAATCCTGAGATTCCAATCAACTGACGGCTCACAAAAATCGTTCCAGGATCCCGCTGAGGCATATCACTCTCGATCTACATTTTTTCTTATATATTAGATGTATTTCTAGCAGAATACTACAGCCTCTTATCCAACAATGCTTGCTGCTGCTGCTGCTTCCCGCCTAACGGATACAGTGTGCTTCTCCCACGCGACCCCTCTGTCCTCCTGCCTGTGGCAGCTCATGCCCGATAGAGTCAACCCTTACCCGAATCTGAAACAGTTGTTTTCCTCTTATTACACTCCTATGCCTTTGATCTATTGATCGTGGAGACATACATATGTAAGCATGTAATTATTATATATTTTTCAATTTCTTATTGTGACTAAGATTGATGAATGTAAATGATGATTCCGCTACAAGATTAAGTGCAGCTCTCTAATCTAGGATACACACTCTCTCCTATTTTCTTCCCCTGAAGAAGCCCCGTTTGGGCGAAACATGTCGGGATATATAGGAGCATTCATACAACCTTGAAAAAAGCAACAAACTTCCGGTTCCGGTGCCTGATGTAGTGGACGCAGAGTGAAGAGCTCCCGCACTGCCAGGGCAAAAACCGCTTATAAAATCATACATCAGCTTAGTTGGCCCACGCCTGCCTTCTCAAACTACTGATACCCGACGGGACTAGGGGGCATATGGATAAATTCCTAGCCAAACGCCGAGCAGGACCTCGCCCTAAAGGGACACCGACACGGTTCAAGAGATCGCAAAATCAATCTAAAATGGCCGCGACGCCTGATCCACGAGACGGCAGTTTATCATCGCCCCACCATACAGGATGTGGTTCATAAAGCGGTCTCCAAAGGTATCCAATCCCTTCGGCAAGATATCCTGCAACAGGCCCAGAGGATCTCTGAAGCAGAAGTCCGCATTACATCCCTAGAGGAGGGGGTCGACTCATCACTATCACAACTGGATTCGGCACAGCAGCAGGTCAAAACCCTGCAAGAACGGATAGAATTCACAAAATGTTGTTTTTTTCTTTATTTTTCATTATAAATATTTTGGTTTCTTTTCTGCAGCGCTGTTGCTGCTGATGTTATTTGATTTCTGTTGTTCGAACGAATACTCCAATCCGCACAATGTGATATCACCATGTTCCTGGTTGTCCCGATTGTGGATACAGGTGGCTACCTACTTGCTAGAATGTGATATGTCTAAATCCGGTAGCATTCTCACATTTACTGTAATGTATTGCGCAATGTACTACATACTGTACTGTATACCAAAAACTGAATAAATTGTTTATGAAAAAAAAAGAAAAAAGCAACTATACATTTCAGTACGGTACTGTTACCAGACGGTGAATGCACCTGCATATGTTTCTTATTTTTTGTTTTTTCTCGTTTTTTAAAATAATGTTTAAAATGGTACTTTAAATAAATGTCTTTCTAAGATTTTACCTCTGAGGTCTGGAATCGTTTCTAAAAAGCCCCCCCTCTCTCCTTCCCCTGTGGGCATCCGCACACCCCACTGTGGAAACATCCTTTTTCTTCTATACTACAACCCGGGGTGTGAAACTTCTAGCACCTCTATATTTTATGTGCAATACATGTCCACTAATGTTATTCCCTGAATGAAACAAAACATGGCAACAAATAAAAATAATGACCCCTGTTCAAAAGTCTGCACACCCTTAGTTTTTAATACTGTGTATTGCCCCCTATAGTTTCAATGACAGCGTGCAGTCTTTTGTAATAGTTGCCTATGAGGCCCCAAATTCTTGCAGGTGGTATAGCTACACATTCGTCTTGGCAAAATGCCTCTCGGTCATGGAAAGTCTTTGGTCATCTTGCATGAACCGCATGTTTGAAATTTCCCCAGAGTGGCTCGATGATATTAAGGTCAGGAGACTCTGAAGGCCACTCTAGAACCTTCACGTTTTTTTGCTGTAACCACTGGAGGGCCAACTTGGCCTTGTGCGTAGGTCATTGTCGCGCTGGAAAGTCCAAGAACGTGCCGTGCGCAGCTTTCATGCAGAAGAATGCAGATTGTCTGCCAGTATTTTCTGATAACATGCTGCATTCATCTTGCCATCAATTTTCACAGGATTCTCCTTGCCTTTAGAGCTTAGACACCCTCAAAGCATTAGTGAGCCACCACCATACTTCACAGTGGGGACGGTATTCTTATCGCGATAGGCCTTGTTGACCCCTCTCTAAACATAGCGCTTATGGTTGTGACCATAAATCTCTATTTTGGTCTTATCACTCCAAATTACAGTGTGCCAAAAGCTGTGAGGTGTGTCAAGGTGTTGTTGGCCATATTGTAACCGGCTTATTTGTGGCATTAGCGCAGTAAAGGCTTCTTTCTGGCAACTCGACCATGCGGCTCATTTTTCTTCAACTATTGAGGTTACCTGTGAGTTTTTTCTATGTATCCCAAACAATTCTTCTGGCAGTTGTGGTTGCAATCTTTCTTGGTCTACCTGACTTTGGCTTGGTATCAAGAGACCCCTGCATTTTCCACTTCTTAGTAAGTGATTGAACAGTACTGACTGGCTTTTTAAGGCTTTGGATATCTTCTTCATAAAGTTATATTACCTTGTTACACAGGAGTTTTGACAGTTTTTTTCTGCTCTCTATGGCTCAGCATCTAGCCTGCTCAGTGCATCAATGTGAGAGCTAACAAACTCATTGACTATTTATACACAGACACTAATTGTAATTTAAAAAGCCACAAATGTGGGAAGTTAACCTTTAATGCCATTTTAACCCATGTGTGTCACCTTGTGTGTCTGTAACAAGGCCAAAAATGTCAGGGTATGTAAACTTTTGGCCGGCCATTTGGGTGATTTCAGTTGTCATTATAATTTAAAAAGGAGCCAAACAACTGTGTGATAATAAATGACTTCATATGATCACTATCCTTAAATAAAAGATAGTTTTTTGGCATGATCAGTCATATTTTCAATGCAATTGCCAAAATGTCACTATTTCTGCCAAGGTATGCAAACTTTTGAGCACAATTGTATGTTCCAAGGATGAAGTGAAGGGATAAGAAGTTTGTAAAGAGCCAATGTATAGATCTGAGCAGGCCACACAATATAGATTACTAGGAGCTACATTTTAGATATGTTTTATTACAAAAATGCTCGCTCCTGTGATACAGTTAAATAAATGCGAGATTGTAGTCCCATCAAGGGAGCGAGATTGGAGCTGTGGCTACATTACAACACACAGAAAGACCATGGTGAAATAAAAGTAGCCACTCTCCAGAAGGTAGGACAGTGTCAGCACCCCTTTGGAGATGATTTCAGAATCTACAGTTGAGTGATACACAAATAAGGTTAGTGTCACTTTAATTGTGACATGGCCTACGATCCAAACAGGATCAACAGAAACCCAGGGATAGTTTTCAAGACTAACACAAGTACTTGCTGGCATCATAAGGAAACTACAGTTCAACACTTTTGTTACCTTAGAAATGTTTTCATCAAGTCAGGTTCACTTTAAGAACTGTTGTTTTGCCACAGGCACCAGTCAATTTAAACCTGCCCTGATTGTCTAACTTTACCTGTTGGATGTTAAGGAAGTAAAAAGTTGTAGTGCTGTCACTTTGATAAAAAGTATGTGCTTCGCTGATAATAAAAAAATAAACCGATGGGAATTGAAGTGTGTTTGTTGTCATAGGAACCATAACAGTTTCGTTTTCCTTTTAATACTTATTATCTCTGTGTTAGAAGAACAACATACAGCTTGTATCAAGATGCTTGTTGCTAAGGGCAACATATTTCTATTCTCATCTTTTATAAACCAGCCACTATGTTCCTGTTCAATAGAGCTCACCAGTTGTTTTCACTGCCTGAGACTCAGAGAGACAAGGTGACATATTCAAGGTCATCCAAACATGATACAAAGATATAAATTAGGACTCTTGTTTGTTTTGGTTTTCACGGTACATTAGACTATGTCCCCTTGAAATACACTTTTATAATGTATGATAACAAAGGCTGGCTGTCACATGCTTGTTACTCCTGCCAATTAAATGGCAGTGCTAAAAATATACGTACATTTCTAAAAACAATTGCAAATGTAAAATATATGACAATTATTTCTAGCAATCTAAAGAGACCCAAAATATCCTTCTTTTCTTACTATTTATAATTTTGCCCTTTTCATTTTGCTTCAGATGTTGAAAAGGGCATCATTACCAGGATTAACTAAGCCTGAAAATGATAGTATTGGACAATAATTGATCATTAGATTTTCTCTTGTTGCCATAGCAACTCATCTGCTGCTAAAGTGAGCTTCTATTGCTTGAGACAAGGGAAGTTAATAGGATGTAAAGCATACAATATGTGAAGGCAAAGCACAAATATTCACAAACCTGTGCTAGATTGAACAATTCCAGATGCCACCGTTTGACCTAGGAGATCGTATTGATTTAACCGAGAGCCATCTTCAGCAACGACAACAGACAGCGCTGGTTCCCGGGTCCAACTATACACGACTTCAGCCCTTGTGTAAGCATCTGTGTTCAAACAGAAACGTATTATTATTAGTAAATATTTCATCAATCTGTTGGCTTCATAGAACTAGGTACTAGAGAAAGGCAATTCAGTCTTCTGGTCAGAAACATTTGAATGCAGGCTGAGGCTCATTTACCATTTTAGGAGAGCACACAAGGATCTCATCTGAGCTGTTCACCACAAATCTTTATAGGCTTTGTGGACTGTCTTTTGTTTAAAGGTAAACAAATGTGCAATTTTAAGTAATTAATAGTTTTAAGTAATAATTTTGCTTTACTTTTTTTTAGTAAAATATACCTGGAAATAAATATTTATGATTTTGATAACTGTATAAGCCTTCTCTTTTAATGTTCCAAAAATGTTGCAGATGCATTATTTAGTAGACCTTCTAACTATGCCAACCAGTATCTCTGAAAACTGCTGTGAGAAAAACAATCACATGATAAGCCATCTGGAAAATGTACTGTGTTCCTGAATTTGTATACCATTGGCTGAAAAGGCTTCAATATCTATACAGGTATATGCTTACACAGACATCGATATTTGGAAGCTTCCCACCAACAGTCTTGTGTTGATGTCTGAAGACCTGTGAAGTTTTGTATCTGTCAATGTGTAGAGAAGTGCTGACAAAAGTAGTGTACCCCAGAACTGCCTTTCAACACGACAATGAACAGTAGTCCACTCAGAATTGATGACCACAGCCAAAATCAGCACAAGACAGCTTGTCTGATGATCATGTCTGATAATATGCCCAGGTAAGGCATGCTTGGGGCAGTTACTTGTTAAACAAAGGTCATTTCAATTCCAATATAAAACTGGTCATTAATCTATCAGTTTTATTCTTCTCCTTAATCAACAAATCATGTGCAAAGAAAATTGTTATTTTCTCTTCGTTCACATAAATGAGTATTTAAAGTGAACCTAGTTTTACCATATCTACTGGGTCAACATTTTTTACTCTCAACGTGACTTTATGTGGTCTACTTATAAACAAAATTTGCAGAGCCTTTTACCCTGCAAATCTCTGTGAACGATCTTCCTGCATGAGGCACTTTTGTTTGAACATTCTTAGAGGGTATTTCACTAAGGAGCCAAAAGATCTAGCTGTAGCCTCCGGCGGCCGAACAGCAGGCGAACGGCTCAGCCAAGCCGAGCCCATATGCTTCGGTTTGGCTGAGCCGTAGTCATAGCTGAAGCAGGGAGAATGGGGTGTCGAAGCAGGCCGTTTTCCCCACAAATGACAACAACTGGGTGGAGTCAACCATGATGTCATGGCTGGCTCTGCCCAGTTGTTGTCATTCAATGATAGACCAGCGTCTTTGGGTACTTTGGTATGTTGGATCGGCTGAGTCGAACGGCTTTTTCACTTCGGCAAGCCAAACCTGCAGAGCATGTTCGGCTGACCAAATCCAGCTGAAGTCAGCCGATGTACTGCTGATTTTAGCAGATGTATGGCTGAAATCAGCTGTACAGGGCCGAAGTGAATAGCCGAACGGCGTTTGGCTCAGTTCACTTCGGCTTGGTTATTCACTTGGTTGCCTTCGAGAGCTTAGTGCATAACCCCCTTAGTATATTTTTTTCTGGGTAAAATGAAATGCTGCATTATGGCCACTGGATGGAGCTGAGGAGCATAGCAAATAGTTAAGCGCTTATACATGGACTCTAAGTGTATGCACCTTTTGAGTGCTTGTGTGTGTGCATACATATAGGTGTCTGTGTTCGTCATATTTTTTACACCTATTAGAGCATATTTAAACCCAACAATAATATACTGTAACTAAACAGTCCTTCGATGTGGTGGCTGCATTTGTTTTCTTATTTTAGACTATCTTTTCCCCTTATTTTAATCTAGGGATCTTGCCAAGAACAGAATTCCTGTCCTAGGGTGACAACACTCATTTATTGTATCGTATTATATTCATGGAGAAGCAGTGTTGTCACCCTAGTCAGGTCTCTTGATTTGGATTACAAACCCCCTCCCACTCTCCTAATCCCTACTGCAGGAGTGTAAGAGTGGGGTTGTAGTTCACAGAATATAGCTAGAAAGGCTAATAACATGGGTTAAGATCAATTTTTAGCGTACAGGAAGTTATAAAGATGCTAGATTTCTATCATGTGTACTTGCAAAAAAAAATTCTAAGCGTAATAAGAAAACTAATGCAAGTACCACATCTAAATTATGCTATAAGCTGGAAATTATCCTTTAACCCCTTCGTGACGGGAGACGTACACTGTAAAAAAAATTGAAAAAAAAATTGTGAAAAGTTTAAAAAAAGTAAAATAAGGGACAAATAAATGAATGTATTTATTGATTTTTTTTTTAGCTGTGCTGGTTTTGTAAAAAAAATACTACAAATCAAAACTGGGAAAAAAGTGTATTTTTTTACGTTTTTTTCCTCTTTTTTTAATATTTTATTTGTCCTAAGTGAGGCGTTAGACACACATATGTAATATAAATATGTAGCCCTCTCTGTCCTCTAAAAAACAATATATAATATGTGTGGGTGCACTTTGTAAGAAAGTATATTACTGACGTGGAAGAATCACACAGTAAAAATTTCAAAATTGTGTCAGTCATTTACAAACAGAAACTAAAAACAAGCTCAGTCATGAAGGGGTTAAGCAAACACAAGTGACCTTGCATAGTTACATAGTATTTGGGGTTAAATAAAGACATAAGTCCATCAAGTCCAACCTATTTTGTGTGTGTGTGTATAGGTCCCTGAGTGTTCTCATTCTTAAGAGTACCTGTACCCTTGTACATTACGGTTTCTCAGGAAATTGTCCAAAAGCTTCTTGAATGATTCCAGACTATTTGCGAAAATCACTGCTGGAGGCAGCGTGTTCCAGACCCTAACCGCGCGAACTGAGAAGAACCCCCTTCGCCCCTTGTGTTTGAATTTTTATTTCTACCAGTTTTAGGTGGTGGCCTCTAGTCTTTGTTACGGAATTAGTCTTAAATAGACCTTGAATAGAGATCCTTTATTGAATGACATCTATAATGTTTATACTGAAAATAACCCCACTGATGTAGAGATGAGCAAATGTATCTGCCGGGTCAGAGATTAAACCTAGGTCAGGCTGATTTGTAAATAAGAGAAATCTGTGGCTTTTAACTACTAATTCTGACTTTTAGCCTCTTTGTTTCAGTTTTGTATGTGATATTCAAATATAAAAGGTAATATTTAATTATATTATTGTGTGATTCTCTCCTCATTAGGCAGACCTGTGTGCAAAACTTCAGGACAAAATGTATAAATCTGCAATTCTCCTGATTAAATTATCACTGATGATGTACAAAGTAATATACTATCTGAAAACAAAATACTTACAGCTGCCAAATTTTAAGGGGCAGGCATGAGCATCCATGGGAAAATCTTCTAAATGCATTGGACATTCTGCTCGCACAGTCAGTCTAAAAAAGGATGAGCATTAAAACTGATAAGCATGTGTTTATTTTAATATATTCAGAGACAAAGTAAAACACATAGGCATCCAAGGTTTAAACAGGGGTGTGGAACTTATTTATAAAACTACTTGTCCAAAGGCTAAAGCGGGTGCCGAATCTACTTGTCCCTTATGACAATCTACTTGTCCCAATACAAAAAAATAGTTTTAATCAAAACTAGGGATTCACCAATACCAGTTTTTGGGTATCGAGTACAAGTACCGATATTTTGCTTTCGGTACTCGCCAATACCAAGTATTGGTGCTACCATTGGCATGGAGCAGACTTCCCGGGCAATCAGGAAGCCGGGCAGCAGGTAATGACATGCTACCCGGCTTCGTGATTGCCAGGGAAGCCAACTCCATGTTGTTAGGCCAGCTTGATTGTGATTGGCTGGGAAACTGGCTTCCCAGCCAATCAGCATCAAGCCAGCTTCCCAGCCGATAAGGAAACCGGGCAGCGAGTTATGAAGTGATTGGCTGGGAAGCCAATCAATCATTAGTCGCTGCCACGCTTCCTGATTGCATGAGAAGCTGGCTCCATGTTCCTCTATGGCACTGCAAGTCAGAGGAAATCTTCCTCTGACCAGAAGTTCCGGTACAGGGGAAGGCATCGGCCAAATACTCTGTATCCGTGCATCCCTAATCATTTGACTGTGCTAAATAGCGCTTCTCATTGGTCAGCGTGGTCACCCAATTTGCGAGCAAAATGCCTAGGGCAGGACTGCGCTGGACAGCAGTATGGGGTACAGACAGTACATATGTACTGGCGGAGGGTAAGGATTGTTCGCTGAAAGGTAAGTATAGCCGGGGGATTGGGAGAGACCGTGCCAGATTTGATCGGGTAATTCAATTTTCCCATATTACCTGGGAAAGTGAACTTGCCCTGTAATGCACATTGTGCGTGTAAAAGAGTTCTGCTGCCTGGCTACCACAATATGGCACACAGTGGAATGGTGGCAGCACTCAACGCACACACACAATGTGCTACGTGTCCATTTATTTTCATGCAGATTGCGGGCGCAACGGGGTTGGTTTTAATTTTTTTTTTTACTTTATCACTTTTATTTTATTTTTATATAAGTTTTTTTATTTTTGTAAATGTTTATTTATTTTTTACCTTTTTGTTTACATTTAATGTTATTCCTATCACATAGGGGATTTTTTTTAAACCCCTATGTGATAATTTGGAGGTGGCAGGTTCTCTTTATGGAACCTTCCCTCCAACACAGAACAGATGCTCTGTGCAGTTCCTGACAGCTGGGACAGGTGACGCTGTGACTACAGCACTCCAGCCTTAGTGATCACAAGTCCTCTAAAAAACAATATATAATATGTGTGGGTGCACTTTGTAAGAAAGTATATTACTGACGTGGAAGAATCACACAGTAAAAATTTCAAAATTGTGTCAGTCATTTACAAACAGAAACTAAAAACAAGCTCAGTCATGAAGGGGTTAAGCAAACACAAGTGACCTTGCATAGTTACATAGTATTTGGGGTTAAATAAAGACATAAGTCCATCAAGTCCAACCTATTTTGTGTGTGTGTGTATAGGTCCCTGAGTGTTCTCATTCTTAAGAGTACCTGTACCCTTGTACATTACGGTTTCTCAGGAAATTGTCCAAAAGCTTCTTGAATGATTCCAGACTATTTGCGAAAATCACTGCTGGAGGCAGCGTGTTCCAGACCCTAACCGCGCGAACTGAGAAGAACCCCCTTCGCCCCTTGTGTTTGAATTTTTATTTCTACCAGTTTTAGGTGGTGGCCTCTAGTCTTTGTTACGGAATTAGTCTTAAATAGACCTTGAATAGAGATCCTTTATTGAATGACATCTATAATGTTTATACTGAAAATAACCCCACTGATGTAGAGATGAGCAAATGTATCTGCCGGGTCAGAGATTAAACCTAGGTCAGGCTGATTTGTAAATAAGAGAAATCTGTGGCTTTTAACTACTAATTCTGACTTTTAGCCTCTTTGTTTCAGTTTTGTATGTGATATTCAAATATAAAAGGTAATATTTAATTATATTATTGTGTGATTCTCTCCTCATTAGGCAGACCTGTGTGCAAAACTTCAGGACAAAATGTATAAATCTGCAATTCTCCTGATTAAATTATCACTGATGATGTACAAAGTAATATACTATCTGAAAACAAAATACTTACAGCTGCCAAATTTTAAGGGGCAGGCATGAGCATCCATGGGAAAATCTTCTAAATGCATTGGACATTCTGCTCGCACAGTCAGTCTAAAAAAGGATGAGCATTAAAACTGATAAGCATGTGTTTATTTTAATATATTCAGAGACAAAGTAAAACACATAGGCATCCAAGGTTTAAACAGGGGTGTGGAACTTATTTATAAAACTACTTGTCCAAAGGCTAAAGCGGGTGCCGAATCTACTTGTCCCTTATGACAATCTACTTGTCCCAATACAAAAAAATAGTTTTAATCAAAACTAGGGATTCACCAATACCAGTTTTTGGGTATCGAGTACAAGTACCGATATTTTGCTTTCGGTACTCGCCAATACCAAGTATTGGTGCTACCATTGGCATGGAGCAGACTTCCCGGGCAATCAGGAAGCCGGGCAGCAGGTAATGACATGCTACCCGGCTTCGTGATTGCCAGGGAAGCCAACTCCATGTTGTTAGGCCAGCTTGATTGTGATTGGCTGGGAAACTGGCTTCCCAGCCAATCAGCATCAAGCCAGCTTCCCAGCCGATAAGGAAACCGGGCAGCGAGTTATGAAGTGATTGGCTGGGAAGCCAATCAATCATTAGTCGCTGCCACGCTTCCTGATTGCATGAGAAGCTGGCTCCATGTTCCTCTATGGCACTGCAAGTCAGAGGAAATCTTCCTCTGACCAGAAGTTCCGGTACAGGGGAAGGCATCGGCCAAATACTCTGTATCCGTGCATCCCTAATCATTTGACTGTGCTAAATAGCGCTTCTCATTGGTCAGCGTGGTCACCCAATTTGCGAGCAAAATGCCTAGGGCAGGACTGCGCTGGACAGCAGTATGGGGTACAGACAGTACATATGTACTGGCGGAGGGTAAGGATTGTTCGCTGAAAGGTAAGTATAGCCGGGGGATTGGGAGAGACCGTGCCAGATTTGATCGGGTAATTCAATTTTCCCATATTACCTGGGAAAGTGAACTTGCCCTGTAATGCACATTGTGCGTGTAAAAGAGTTCTGCTGCCTGGCTACCACAATATGGCACACAGTGGAATGGTGGCAGCACTCAACGCACACACACAATGTGCTACGTGTCCATTTATTTTCATGCAGATTGCGGGCGCAACGGGGTTGGTTTTAATTTTTTTTTTTACTTTATCACTTTTATTTTATTTTTATATAAGTTTTTTTATTTTTGTAAATGTTTATTTATTTTTTACCTTTTTGTTTACATTTAATGTTATTCCTATCACATAGGGGATTTTTTTTAAACCCCTATGTGATAATTTGGAGGTGGCAGGTTCTCTTTATGGAACCTTCCCTCCAACACAGAACAGATGCTCTGTGCAGTTCCTGACAGCTGGGACAGGTGACGCTGTGACTACAGCACTCCAGCCTTAGTGATCACAAAACTGTACATTTAACTCTTCTTGTCCAGAGCAGGGCTAAATGTAAAAAAAAAAAACTACTCGCCCGGCGCTCAAAACTGCATGTCCCAGGCGTCAGGCAATAGGAATTCCACACCCCTGTTTAAAGGAGACTTCCATTAGTTAATTATTTATTTAAAACACTAACTCACATTTCTGTGCAGTAGTATATAGTGATGAGCCAAACACCCCCAAATTCAGTTCGAATTCGAACTTTAAAACATGGAAAAAGTTTGAATTTAAACTCGAAATAAATGCAAGTCTATGGGGGGTAGAACTTTGAAAATCAATTGACCCCATTTTGAAGTCTTATATGCAAGTTAATGGCAATAACAAAGGTATTAGGATTCGGGTACTGACCTGCGGGACATGTATCAATTAAACAATTTATCCAACTACAAAATGAAGACGCAGGTAAATATTAGTTTGTTTTATTACCTAGTTATGTCTTTTGTGTAAAGCTTATGTTCAAGAAGATGTTGTCTCTATTTGCTCATAAGCTTGTGTGACTGTAACCATCATGAATTTTAACAGCTTCAACTATCAATTTGTTTTGTTTTCACCAAGCAAAATATGATATATTGCTCTTTTAAATCCAAATCCTATGAAAAATGTAGGAACCTAGCTAAGCTTTCAATCAAGGATGAGCTTGATTGCACACTGCATTGCTATAAAAAGGCCAGTTGTTCACTTGGCAATCCGTAGTGGAGTGTCTAGGTCTTGTTGATTACTAAATATACCAAAAACCTTATTCCCTGATTATTTTAATCATGCAAATTACTCTTATTAAAAAAGAAGAAACATAAAGTCATATAACAATTCCATAAAAATATGGCTGCCAGCAAGAAGGATGTTTTTTTATATTATTTTCAAGGTCAAATATGCCTGGTAATAGAACATGTATATTGTAGCCTGCCAAGCCCTTAAAGCAAGGACAGCTTTCATCAAAATCTTGATTAATAGCTTCTGCTTAATGAGTTAATTACTGTCATCCAACCAACCACAAACTGGGATTCCCATTGCAATAACCATTAGTATCTTCCATGTTTGCAATCATGGGAAATATTTTAGTGATATATAGCAGTATGATGTGATTGGCATAATTATAACTGGGACTCCTAATATATCATCTAGCCACAACTGACAGTTTGGTAACTGCATTAACTTTTTTTATTCCAATATAAAAAAAAGGATTCAAACAATTGCATTTAAAAACAATATCTGAAAAACTTTGGTTTGCTTTTGGGCTGGAGAGTAACAACATTGCATGCTTAGGGCGAAATCATACTTGCCATTGCTCCTGTTATCTCCTCTGCTAATTGCATCTGCTGTTCCTAATTAAGTACTACCTCCACTGACATTTGGACTTTTTAGAAATCCAGTTAGATAAGAAGATTGCAATAGGTTCATAATCATGTTATTAGGATCATAATCATGTGGACTCTTGGCTATGCCAACACCAGCCCATACAGCTGTGAAAATCAGCCTGGTACAAGAGGACTAGGCATAACATTGTGCAGTGCTCCTAAATGTATATATATATAGATAGATAGATAGATAGATAGATAGATAGATAGATAGATAGAAATATTAACTAGAGGGAATGGAGGAAGCTTGGACTGTCAAAATGGGACATACTTTACCTCTCACACTTCTTTGATGTATTATTCATATTAATGCATTATTTCTATGCAGTTTTCTTTTGTTACCAAATGATTTGTTTTTTTATTGTGTGACAAAATATATGCAAGATTCTATAAATAAGGTATTACATTAAAATAAACAGTATTTTAACATGTGATTTGGAGCCAATTTTACCTCATTGTATAAAGCAGAGTTCCATCTTCTGTTATCCGTAAGAGTTTGTTTGGCATGGTCATATTATGGGCCACTGACTTCTTTCCATTGTGAAAAAATGTATCTGGTGTCCATATCTTACTTGCCATTAAATTATTAAGACGGAGGACTGTCATAGGACCCTTGAATTTGAGTCTTTCATCTCTCCAGCCTTGTCGAAAAAATACATCAATTGTGTATTCCTGTTTGTCAAAGAATAAATGAAGACAATGTTACATGGATTTTGATAAATATAATGAAATCAGAAAATAAATCTGAGCAATAAATCAATAGATATGCATTTATATATATGGGAAAGTCTAAACAAAAATTACATTATATTTAATTATATTCTGCCAACTTTTTTCTTTGTTTATCTATAATCAAATGATGTTCAAACATTTAAGATGAGTAATAGTGTGCCCATGCAAGTCAAAATGACAGGTGCTGCTCACGGCCATTTCGACTTTCCCCAACTTCTACAATACTCTTCCTTCCTGCACTTGATTCATCTCTAAGAGCTCTCAGAAATACCTGGATGTTGTGGGGAAGCACTTTAGTTTTTCCATGGATTTAGTTCCTGGCCCGCGCAGCCGATTGTCAGGTCTAAACACTGCCCTTTATTCACATAAGGAAAAAAGTATCCCAAGCCCATGCTGAAGGGGAAAAGTGACAGATTCACAGATTCAAATGTATCTAAAACCAAAATGTTTCTGTTCTGGAAAGAGTGGACAATGACCTCAAAAAGGTTTTAATGTCTGTGGCTTCACATGGTCACCTTAGAAATTAGAAATCATCACATTAATTATTAAAAGTCAAATGTGTATTATTACCCAAACACTGTCGAAGAAATGTTTCTAATTTCAAAGAACTACATTTTAAACAGAATCATAAGGGAACATACATCTGCAGGAATTAATATTCATCTACCATTTATAATAGAGCTCCTTTAACCCCTACGTGACGGGAGACGTACACTGTACGGGACGAATTATTTGAGAATCAGCCGTTACCATTCATTAATGGATGCCTCGGTATAGAGGCATGAATTAATGGAAGAGTTAACCTTTTTCAGACACCTGATCCCTTTCAGGAATCGGGTGTCTGAGAGTGAAAGCAGAGCCACATTTGCAGCTCTTGCTGTCACTCTGACAACTGTGATCGGGAAAGCTCGATTGTATACCAGCTTTTTAAAAAAACTTTCAGGAATAGATACATGATGTATCTATTCCTGAAAGAATGTTTCCGTTTTCTGGAACGATCAGAAAACCTTTTGTGACAGCTAATCCTGAAATGCTGCAGGATCAGTATCACTAAGGTTATTATTGGCTGTTCTTAAGTTTGAACAGTGGCGTCGCTACAGGGGGGCAAGGGGGGCGAAACGTCGAGACAAATATTCGCTCCCCCATTCTCATTCCTTATTAATGTATCTATTATTCTGATCATGCTATTAATTAACCATTCTATCATATATTCTTGAATGGGATGTTCATAGGTGGAGTGAGCAAAGCCTATGTCCCTCCACTTTTGAATGAACCCAAATTAATTTTTCAATCATGTATTCAATGAATTTTTCAATCATGCTATCATGTCTTTCTTGAAATGGGTGGTATAAATGGAGTGAGCGTATAAGGAGACATCTGATCAGCCGGTTTTTTTTATTACTTGTACTGTATGTGAATCAATCTTTTAAATATTACTAAGATTAAAAATACTTTGTTACTGCTAAATTGCTTTGGATTTGTCATTAGGTGCCCAACAAACCCCCATCTTTTTTCTTTCCTTTTTATATCAAAGTTCTTAGGGGTGTGGCACCAACTACTCAGGCCTCGGCCATAAATACAAATTTAAGCTTAGTTTATATGGCCGACGCTGGGGGGGCCGACGCCTGGTGCTCAAGACTGAATAGGTGCCCGACCCTGGGGCACCACCTGCTTGCTGCTACTGTACTGATCTCTGCAAAGGCTTCCCCCACCCCAGCGTTGGACCCCTATTCAGCCTTTGGCACCACCTGCTTGCTGCTACTGTGCTGATTCTGCAGCTGGTGCCCAAAACTGAATTATAGGGGCCTGACGCTGAGGGGGGAATCCTTTGCAGAGATCAGTACAGTAGCAGCAATTTGCTGGCCTGGTGCCCAAGGCTGAATAGGGGCACGGCATGGCTTCCCCCACCTCAGCATTGACCCCTATTCATCCTTGTGCACCAGCTGCTTGCTGCTACTGTGCTGAATCTGCAACAGGAGCAGCAAGCAGCTGGTGCCCAAAACTGAATTATAGGGGCCTGACGCTGAGGGGGGAATCCTTTGCAGAGATCAGTAGCAGCATTTAGCTGGCCTGGTGCCCAAGGCTTCCCCCACCTCAGCATCGGGTCCCTATTCAGCCTTGAGCACCAGGATAGCTGCTTGCTGCTACTGTGCTGATCTCTGCAGAGATCAGCACAGTAGCAGCAAGAACTACTTAAACCGGCGCGCAGTGTGCATCTTCTGAGAAGATACGCTATTAGCGTAGCGGGAGCGATGCAAAATGCACAGCCGGCTTCCCCGCTATGCTAATTGTATGCAGCTTCTGTCGCAACTGCAGGACGCAGATGCCATCCGCAATTAAATCAGCTCTCGGCTCCCATCGGTTGCGGCATGCAATGAAAATTATTAGTGCCCCCCCAGATCTGACTGGGGTATCTTATGTGCCCCCCTAAATATTGTTCCTAGAGTCGCCACTGAGTTTGAAGCAGACTAAAGGTGCCCATACACTGTACGATTCTCGCACGAGAATCGCGGGAAGTCCCGCAATCGTACGATAATCGTACAGTGTATGGAAGGCGTGCAACCATTTCTACTGTACGGTCACACGTCTTCCATCGAACAAGCAGGCTTGAAAACCCTGGCCTGCTTGTTCGACAACTGCCGAACGGGCCGGTGTGCGCACACTGCCCGTTTGCAGTGATCGGATGATCACTGATCCGATGATCGGATGATCGATGATCGCAAGTACGATCTGCCTGCCCAAGATGGGCAGATCGTACAATCTTTTAATAAGCTTACGACCATCGCAAGACAAAAGTCTTGCGATGGTCGTAAGGTGTATGGGCACCTTAATAATAACCAAAAATTGATTAATTTGTTTAATTTGTTTTTCACCCTAAGGGGTTAATTTTGTTGAACCCCCTCAAGACAGCGATGTTTAAAGTATGTCGCTGTCACTAAGTGTCACACTTAGTGACAGTGACATTGTATGCTAGGTGACCACTTTTAGCTTTAGCTTTTAGAGAAAAAAAGGTTAAAATGTTAGGTTTTAGTTTTAGGCCGAGAAGTACAGAAACATTTCCAAAATCCAAGGAATGTGAGGTTTTTCCAAATAAAGGACAAATAAATTAATGTATTTATTGCATTTTTATTTAGCTGTGCTGTTTTTGTAAAAAATACTACAAATCAAAACTGGGCAAAAGGTGTTCTCTTCTCTTTTTTAATATTTTATTTGTCCTAAGTGAGGTGTTAGGGCTACATATTTATATCACATATGTGTACCTATCTGTCCTCTAAAAAACAATATATAATATGTGTGGGTGCACTTTGTAACTCGCAACTCTGACCCGGAAGCTGAGCAGAGCGGCTGGACGCACTGGCATGTGCAGCGGTGTGCCGACACGCCTTGTGATCGAGGACCGGGACCTGAGGATCGAGGAGGACCGAGGACGAGAGCTGCAGGACCAGGGGTTCGGAGGACATGGAGCCGGACAGACGGACGGAGCCAGTTACGGACGAAGGAAGGATGGTGAGAGGAGAAGACCGAGGAGCCGGGAGCACCACTGCGGACCAGACCAGAGGGGCGGAGAGGAGAGCTCGGAGAGGAGCGGTGACCAGGACAGGCGGCAGGACTGCAGAGTGGTGACCTGGGCTGATGGAGCGTGTGGGGGTGAATGACTGCGGGAATGTGTGGGGTGAGGGACTGCAGGAGTGTGTGGGGTGAACGGTGCTGTAAGAAAGGAGAGAGAGAGGGGGGAAGTGCTGTGGGAAGTGTGGACTTAGTGGGGAAGTGTGAAACTGCAAGTAGAGAGGTAAGAGGGGTAGCCAGAGGGTTAAACGTTGCTAGGCTTTAGTGATAGTTGATAGTAAAAAAAAAAAAAAGGGGGGGGACAGTGGTGTATGTGCGAGTGTGCATATATAGTTACTATATATATTACTGTATATATATTTATATATTAAATAATACAGTTTAGATATTTACTATTGTGATTAGAGTGTATATGGGAATAAGGGAGGTATCATTAGCTGGGACTTAAACTATTTAAGCCCAGCAAACAGTACCCTTAACAGTACACTTTAACTCATGTATTCAGTAAAAATCAGCTAGACACTAAGTGTATATCTGTGCATCTGCGGTGCGTTAATTTGTAACATCAGCTAGTCTTCAAGTATTTTATCTGAAGGGATTTACTTAGTAATTGATTAAATAATTATCAACTACTGAATAAATGTTATCGGTTGGGCATTGAGCAGAGCAAGTACAAGATCGGGAACCGGGATCTAGGACGGAGGGCCAGACAAATCGGAAGGACTGCCGGAGACGGCATCAGACGGTCTTTCCAGCATTATCAGACAAAGATAGATGAAAAGACGGAAGGACGGACGTAAGAAAAAAACCTACGATCGGACCAGATCATAAGAGCGGGAAAGAACAGAGCTGCTAGATCAGGTCTTATGAAAGAAAGGAGGGGGGCCTATAAATTGTAAATTGTATTTTTGTGGTTTGTGATTTTCGGTAGTGTTTTCAGAGATTGTAGAGGGGGGCTAGATTGAGTAGAGGGAAGGGGGAAAGTGCTTTAGGGATAAAATGTAACCGTATTATAATTAAATTAAACCCAGGGCAGTAGTGTAAAACAAACCCAGGCTATAGTGTTATTTAACATCAGAACCATAACAAGTTAAATTAACCCCAGAGACGTAGTGTAATTAAATTAAACCCAGGGCTTTAAAGTATTTAACTACAGGGTAAATCACTAAAATCGTAGGAGCACAGGGGCATCAGGAATACAAATTTAATAGAAAAATAGCCATAGTCAGAAGTATTAAAATAATTAAGGATAGCGAAATAGTCAGCTGAGAACAATTAGGCCTAAAGAAAGGGATATATAAATAAATAACCTAAATATTTAAAAGGGGGGATAAAATGTCTTCCATGAGTGTGTGTGCTACCAAGTGCACGTC